AACCTATAATTTCCTGTCTTGCGAAACTGTCATTTAAATCAAAGGGCAAAATAAAGACATTTGGACACATACTAGATCTTAGAAAGCTCCTATCTCACACGCCTTTGCTGAAAGAGGCATTGGGACTTGGGGGAGGAGTTAAGAGCTCACAGAGGTGTCACAGGGCTTAGTGGAGGCCAGGACGCCAGGTAGGGCAGAGGCTCCGGCCTGTGGACAGAAGGAGGCCAGGGCTCTGTTTCAGATCTCACCTCAGCACCAGCCAGACAGAAGTGCAGCCCAGCCTGGCCCAGCTGGGGCCTACCTCAGGTTTACCCTCTTGAGTGCCAGCCTTGCTTTCCTCCTGTCCCCTTTTCCTGGGCTGTGGGAGTGGCATAGCACCCAAGTCAGGGGGTGACATCATCAGCCTGGCAATGTGAAAAGAAACTTAATATAGTTAATGTTGGCTGGCTCTGGGGGCTTGGAGGAGACCATGGCCAAGTTACCTGATCACTAACCTCCACTCCAGGGTCCTCTCTTTTAGAGAGCTCAGATGCCACCTTACAAAGCCCTAAGGATGGCTGGAGCTGTGGGACAAAGGCTCCATCTACCCAGGAGTTGGTGGGGAAGGAGACCTTCTTAAACAGAGCAGACCGACTGAATGGGAGCTGAGCCACTAGGACACCTTGAGTCGTAAGCTTTTTGGAGCAGCTGGCTTCATTCAACAAGCTGGTGCCCTGGGGAAATTTCTTAACCTCTTTGAGCCTGTTTCCTGCTTATAAAATGGGGAGAATATCTACTTAATGAGGATGTGAAGATAAGATGAGAAGCCATTTAGGTACCAAGCTTGAGCTATATTTTTCTACACAGAAATTTTTGTTTTGTTTTGTTTTTGTTTTTGTTTTTCTTCCGGTACCTGGAATTGAACTCACGACCTTGCGCTTTCGAGGCAGGCGCTTTGCCGCTGAGCTAAATCCCCAGCCTTACACAGAAATTTCTAAAAAGTATAATTTCTAATGGCCCTGCCTAGTATATGATCAGTCCTCAAAACAAAACAAAAAACAGCAAGAAAAACTCATGGTGAGCGCAGATGCACAGAGACGGATGTGCAGCAATGCTGACGTCCCTGCCTGCTGTCCAGCTGCAGGGATGGCTTTGTGTTCTCATTCACTTCTTGGGAACGGTGATGCTTGGTTACTCGTGGTGCCAGGCTCTGTGCCCTGCTCTCCAGGCACAGAGGTGACCCTGAACTGGAGGACCATCTGTGAGGAAGATGGCCAGGGTCACAACTTTTCTCTCAAAGGGAAGAGTTTCCTCAGCCTAACTGGTTCCAGTGTTTGTTGTCTATTGCGCTCATTCCCAACCAAGCCCCATCCCCAACTCAACATCCAGTATAAACTGCGTAATAGCATGGACCTCATGTGACCTCATCTGGCTTATCGTCAGCTGTGTTCAGAATGTCCAAAACAATGTCTGACATACAGAGGGTACCGAAGAAATATCTGCTGAATGACCGTGTATATGAGCTCTAATAATAGCTTGAAGAAGTTGATATGGGAGCATTGAAGAGATCCTGGCTGACTCTGCCCCAGGAATTAGACATTTCTTAGCAAGAGCCATTTAGATTGGGCCTTGATGGATGTATAGGAGATCAATATGTGAAAAGGGGAGTGAAGAGCATTCCAGGCATTGGGGCTAGCACATTCTGAAAACATGGAATTGAGTTCAGGAACCAGTAATTGGGTATGACAGAAGCATCCAGTGCAGGAGATGGGGGAGTGGAAAGAAAGCAAGCTGAGAAGAACCTGAAAGGGACTTAGGCTGTCAGAAAGTCCTTATTAAAATCTAACCCCTTACCTTGGTGCAGTGTGTCCAGTGGAGACAGTAGTCATCCACAGAGGCTCCTCTCTCCAAAGAATAGAAGTCTTATTAGGAAGCAAGGTAAGGATAGTATCCCCTGAGGAAAGGGACACTCTCCCCTGGGTTCCTAGAACTGTCTCATGGGGGTGGGACAGGGTACCTCCCACATTCTGCCAAATGTTGCATGCTGCCCCCTCGTGGCCTTGGCAGACTTGTGCAGCAAGGAAGCCTGCCAGGTCCTCCCTCTGCTCATAATCCCAAGGGTCTCCAACCTCCAGTACCAGCCTCCTGGAGAGTTACTGCAACTACCAGCTGTCCCCAAACCAGACCCAATTGCTTTACTTATTCCATATATAGATAGAGAGCCTGGCCAGTGAATTGTAGGAGGTTAAAAGGAAAAGGCCCAACTTAAGTGCCCAGCCACCAACACTGGGGATTGAACCCTGGAAGTGCTGAACTACATCCCCTCACCTTTCAAGTTTTTGAAGGGCCAGGGATATAGCTCAGCAGCACAGCGCCTGCCTGGCAAGTACAGGGTTGTGAGTTCAATTCCCAGCACAAAAATAAATAAATAAATAAATTTTTGAGACAGGTGCTAAATTGCCCAGGCTGGCTTTGAATTTATCATAATCCTGCCTCAGCTTCCCAAGCAGCTGGGATTATAGGCGTGTTCTAACATAACACATGCCATCTTTGGCTAGAAAGTAGCTGTGTGTGCACAGATCAGGAAACCAGTGTTTTGGTTTTAACTCCAATCCGAATTCAGACAATGACCTTGAACAAATCACTGCATTTCACTAGGCCTCCCATGACTGTCCTTAACACAGGATCATGATCCCTCTTCCTGTCTCTCCTGCGGGGGCACAGTGAAGATCATCAGGACAGATGCCACAAATGCTAGGAAAAATGTTTAGTGCTCCGGATGTAAGGGGATCGCGCTGGGTATTAGATAGGGGCTCTCTTGGGCTGCACCAAAGGGTTTGTTTACACCAGGATGGGCCCTGCTGGCAGAGCAACTTAAAGGGAACGTGCTCAGCAGAGAAACTGCTTGCCAATCATGACTGAAATATCTTCGAAATAAGAATGAAAGTCTAAGCCATAGACTCTACGGGAAAATGGGGACCCATCACCTGGCCTAAAATTCCAATTGTGCCTGGATTTCCAGGAACGTGTGGAAGAGCAGCGAGGTGGGACAGAGGGCACCAGGAAATGAGATAGCAGAGCTTCTGCCTTCTCTGAGACGAGGCTCCTCTGCTGGTGTGCTTTCTCTCTTGCATCCTCTCCATTCTAGGCAGGAACAAAGCTGTCTGCAAGAACTTGCTGATCATGTCTGGCTGAGATGTGTTTGGGTATGGGACAGGTGTGCAGGCCCAAAGACTTCCATTTGAGACAGGTAGACAGCTAGAAGGAAGACAACTGGATCAACAACTTACAAGTCTGTGGAAGCTGCCCCAACTCATTGTTAAAGGGGCAGTTACTGACTTCTCAGTAAGTGTCACCTGCTTTACTTGCCCTAATGACACTGGAAGGATACTATGTGCCCCAAACTTTATACTAGGAAAACAATGTTAGCTTCCTTCCTTTTATGCTGTAAATGAATCTCTTACCTGGTTCCATCTCTCTGCTTTGGTGACCAGGAATCTTACCATCAAATCATTCTAACAACTACATAGGTCCTGATGGCTATCTTATGTGTTCTTGTTTTGTTTTTTGATATGGGGTCTTGCTATGGTGTCCAGGCTGCTGTCAAAACTCGATGACTCAAGTGATCCTTCTACCTCAGTCTCTCAAAGAGCTGTAATTACAACTGCACACCACCAGGCCCTGCTTATGTTATTTTTATGACCCTGATTTCCTACTCAATGATATTTTCCCTAATTCTAACTTGTCCTACTTTATTACTTCATTGTGCAGTGTTTTTTTTTTTTTTTTTTTGGTACCGGGAATCGAACTCATGACCTCAGGCTTGCCAAGCAACTGCTTATGCCACTGAGCTACATTCCCGGCATTGTGCAGTGTTTTCATTGCAAGCTACCTCAATTACCTTGTGGAATGGAGTAAGTACTTAAGTGAAACAGAATGACACAGGTGTGACATAGATGTCCAAGACTTCATAAGGGCTGGGGATTTAGCTCAGCGGCAAAAGCGCCTGCCTGGCAAGCGCAAGGTCGTGAGTTCAGTTCCTGGTACCGGAGAAAAACCAAAAAAAAAAAAACAAAAGAAAACAAACCAAGACTTCATAAACCAACTAGGATGTCCAGGAGATAGTCAATAGCCTGGCTCTGGCCCCCACCCAGAAAATAAAGGGCAGAGGTGGGCAGACCAATCTAGGCAAGAGATTCAAATAGGCCTAGGAAATCTGGAAGACCTCTTGGGAAGAAGGAGGAACAGAGGGCAGTGGTGTTGCGTGAGTCTTTCCTCACTCCTGAACACCAATTCATATCCTGCCACTGTGGTCTGCAGTGAGGGAATCCGAAGAGCATCAGGCTCAGGCTTGAAACTGAAACATAAGCTTTTTCCTCATGCCTACTTCCTTCCAGAAACAATCTCAAAGCAGGGAGTTGCTCACGGTTTTATGGCAAAATACCTATTTCCGGCACCCTGCTCACTGTCCCTCCTACAACCACAGACCCTACTCTGGCTGTAAAGATGCATCTTGGAGGTTAGAAAGATGGCCCACCACCAACTTTCGGATCCCAAAGTCAGGAAGCAGCCCTGGCTCTAGCAGCCCTGAGATGCTGGCTGACAAAGGGTCTGGGCTACCCTCCATGGCAGATATCAGGCCTTTGGTAGTTAGCAACTCACGCCCAGCCTATGACAGACAAGACCGCAGGGATTTGCCCTGGTCCTTGTTTGCAGAAGAGGGCCAGCATTTTTTAGAAGTTATGCCCCTGGCTCTCAACCAGGCAGCACATGTCTGTGGTAGTCCAGTTAGGTCAGGCAGGTATACCTGAGCAGCACGTATGTTCTGATGAAGCTTGCTTGTAAAACCACCCACAGGCTATATCACATATGTGGCACCTAAGTGCCCTTAGTTTTGGACACCTCTCCTCACAAGGGTGCTTCTTCTTTCAAATACCCAAGCTGAGGACAAACAAACCTTTCCAAGTCTTTCAAAGCCAAGTGGCCCATGATGTCCCCAGACACAACAACCAACTCTAGAGTATCTAAAATGAGATTTATTGCCTTTCATGCAGTTTGAAGTCCACGCAGCAAAGGAGACTAGCACAATTTTTAATGTGTTTAAAAAATAAAATTGGGAGGGGGTCAAAATGCACTAATTTCTAGTCTCCTTGGGCCCCTGGAAAGAAGGCTGTGGAATGAACCCATCCATTCTCCATGGGGAATGAGTCCATCTCCTGAACACAAGGAGTGTTTCTGTGGCCTCTGGATGCAAAAAAAAAAAAAAAAAAAAAAAAAAAGGAGCTCAGGGGTGAGCACATGGATGGGAAAGAACCAGTGAGAAAGAAGCTAACACATTCACCAGTTCAATCTGAGGGCAGAGCAAGGTGGCAAATCTTGGGGCAGCAGCTGTTCCAAGAGTCAGAAAATCCCACGCACCCCTATGAAGATCTCCTCCTAAGATAAGTGACAATGTGAACCAAAACAACAAAACCCAAGTATTTCTTTAACCACACACTTCAAGAAAATGTCATAAATATGTTATTTAATATTCTCACTTCGTAGCATTGGACACGCAGCTCAACATAATGAAATATTGATTCCTTGGAGACAAAAAAAGGAAATAAAAAATATTGCATCTTCCTGTTGAAGAATCTCGGCCCCCAGGCATGGGGTGTAGTGCACCAGTGTCCTAGCCTGCAGGAGGCGCTGAGGTCGGCAGGGTCCTCTGGGGAGGGAGGCTGGGCCCATCGCCTGGGCTGTATGGCAAAAACTGTGTTGGGTGTCCTTGGCCGTGCTGGCTCAGGCCCTCAGTCGCCGGTCACCTGAGGGGCCTGCCCGTCGGAGGGCTGGTTGGCTGACTGGATGAACATGGGCTGGGCGAGGTCCTGGCCTGCAGGCATGGTGACTTGCTGGATCTGGTAGAGCTGCTGCAAGGGGTAGAGAGAAGAGAGTGAGGTCACCCCTGAGACAGGGGCATGCAGCTCCTTATGGGCCTCGAGCTGGCTGGGGGCCCCAGATACCTCAACCCCCACCCACTGCAAGGCGTGCGGAGGGGGGGGGGGATGTGGCGCTCTGCTGGGGCTGGGAAGAGCAGACACAGGAGGCACCAGCCTGGTGCGAGGGGGTATGTGTGGTGGGCAGGGAGGAGGTGTAGGGAGTTGCATTTCCTGTGGCTTTCACTTCTCTGGGCTCTGCCTCTCCTGTTAGCTCAGAGCCTCGAGCTTGCTGCACGCTGTTCCTCTGTGACAAACACAAGCCAATTCGACCAGTGTACGAGCAGCTTCGAAGTCAGCATTTCCCCAAGTCTTGGCACTCCTCACTGGCAGGGGCAGTAGTGATTCCCCCCTTTCCTGCTTTGCTCTGCATACGTGGCTCAGGCTGACACTAAACTGCACCTGCATTTCCTACCTGGGCCCTGTGAAGCAGGAGATCTGATATTAAACACTCACTACAGCCATCCCAATGTGAGTGAAGAGGCTCCCAAAAGAAACCAAAAGCTAGGACCCCTACCCTTAGGAGCCCTGGCATGAAAGCCTCACACCTGGTACTGGAAGAAGTCAGAGAGGGGTCCCGAGGCTAGCTCTTTTCCCTTTTGGGCAGCAAGAACACAAGTTTGGACATGTCATCACGTAGGTCCCAGTATTTTGAGAAAAAAGCGGCAAGAAAAGGTAAGGTTCCTTCCTCATATGCATTTAGAACTATTGAACTCCAGGCATCCAGAGGCCATAAAAGGTCACAGGCTGTCTGCATTTCAACTAATATTGTATGTGCTATTACAAAGCATCATGGCTTAAGGAAAAAAAAAAAAACAATCCTAAAGGGGGAAACAGGAAACTTGCATTCTAATCTGGCTCTGGCTCTGCAATGAACAGCTGATTGAGCATGTGCAAGGCACTTTCTACCTCTAGGGCTTAGTTTACTCATCTGTAAAGTGGCAATTTGGGCTAGATAATGTTTAAGATGAATTTAGCTCCCGTGTGTCTATAAAATCTACAGGATATGTGCCTTGACTTAAAAACTGTACTTTTTAAAACAAGTTCTTTCTATTCACTCTCAGTAGAGGATGGGACAGTTGCTCTAATCATCCAAACCCACATCCCATCTGTGACCTCGTTACTCCCAACCACTTGCCCTCTGACCCTGCTCAAGCTGGGTATTTTACCTGTCCATCTGTGAATTGGCTGAACTGCTGCTGTCCTTGCTGGACTTCGGTCTGTGTGATCTGTGGGATGCAAGATGGAAAAGCAGGCATATCAGCTGCAGGGTCTGCTCTACCAGCTTACTACCCACGAAGTCTGAATGAGACAGTGGCTCTAAAGTACCCAGAATAGGGGCTGGCATGGAACACATGGAACATGGCTCAGTGAGGGTTGGAAATTAATGCCCTCATCCCCATCTCCTAGCACTGACGGTTACCTGAAGAGTTGGTGCCACACAGCATACCAAGAACTCTGGAGCACGAACAACTGCTAGATCCATACCTCTTAATGTACTTCTCTTCCTCCTGCCACCACCCCCTCACCTCAAGGAGAATACCTAACTCCTTTGCTTTCACAAGAGCAGGTATACCATTATGGTTTTGGGTACAAGCCCTAAGAGTCCACCTTTCAGCCAATGAAGGTAGATTTTAAAACGCTAGGCAAAGCGGTGAGTGATCCCTTTCATCTTGGAAGATGGGATCCAAACCAAACCCCTATCACCCAGGTTATCTGAGTGGAATATGAAACATCCTGGCGAGCATTGGCCTTGGCCCTGGCAGCCCTCACGGCAAACCTATGAAGTACTTTTTCCGAGAGAGGCAACTTGCACCCGCTGGGGCAAGGGATGGGAGGTGCAGGGGGAAGGGACAGGGGCAGGGTGCAGCAAGAAAACCATTTACCATAAGCACTTAAGATCAAATGTGGGGATTTTAAAATAAGTTTGCTGACATGTGGATTGCAGCACACACTGATAACTGCTGGGCACAGCTTGATAAACTATGAAGAAGACCAGTGCCAATACACGTGTGTGTCTATGGAACATCTGACTACCAATGGCATCTCTGTACCAACTCCTGGAACGCTCACAGCCAACCTGCAAGGCAAGGCCTGTGCTCTCAAGTGTCCTCATGACAGCCAAAAACAAGCCCTGCAGTCCTACCTAGGAGGCTATAAGGAAAAAGAAAGGGCAGAGGCGACAAAGGACTTCATATAAACTTCTAATTACTGTCCCTCATTTTGGGCCTTTCTTCCACAGGTCTATAAGCTACCTGAGGGCAGGAGCTATGTTTTGTATTTAAACTTCCAATGCAAAGAAATATTCAAGAAATGTTTGCAGAACAAATGAATGAGCCTGAGACAAATGGAAAAATTCTCCTTACAGATAAGAAGGTTAACTGTGTCATGTAGCCAGCAGCACTGCCATTCACAGCAGCTGAGAAGTCTCATTTACCTTTAAATTGCACCTGTATTATTTGAGGTCCACTGAACATTTCTTGAACACCTACTAAATGGCAGGTTGTCACAATGACACGTTGTTGTGGAGATTTTAACTGCCTCTGGTCCATTCCCCTTTTCTCCCCAAATCTTATTTTCTGGCTTTGGTTCTGTTCCCCACGAAGTAATCTCTGAGAAACCAAAAACCCTTCTCATTCCATCCCATTCTCATGCCATAAAAAGCTTTTGGGATCTCAAGAAGAATCTTAACAGGGTCTGGGGGAAAAAACTCTTTTTGGAGACAGGGTTTCACTTTGTAATTGAGGCTGGCCTTGAACTCACTATATAGCCCAGGCAGGCCTCGAACTCGTAGCAATTCTTCTGCCTCAGCTGGGATTACAGGCACACACCATCATGGCCAGCTGAAAAAAATTTTCAAAGGGAGAGGGACCCCAAGGGTGTGCCTACTCTTAAATGTGATTCAGTGTCACTGAGCTCCAAAGAAACTATGGAAAAGCCTACATCCACAGATGAGCTGACAGTAAGAAAGAAAATGATCCCAGAGACTATGTGGAACTCAGAACCCTAGCTTTTGGCTCATTCCTCACGTTTTCCCAAATGAGATCTTTGGAGACCTGCTGTACCATCTCAGCTCTGTCACCACTGTCAATAGATACATCACCAGAAATGCAACTGGGCCAGACACGTCCAGCTCTTAAACGATTGCTGCTTTTTTGGGTCTGAGGCAAAAGAATCCATTATATGCCTCTCCTTGTCCAGAATCCCCCAAGCTCCTCAAAGGATGCCCACGTTCTAAACCCTCCAAAGCTGGGGGCAGCCTCTTTGACTCTGTGACTCATAGCCTTCAACAGTGTAGGGCAGAGGAGAAAATGGGGCAGTGGGTGGTTCTAGCCAGAGATGCATGCAGAGGTAGGCCAGGACTGAAGCTTTCCAGAGGGGACAGAAGGTGCTAGAACACAGCAGCCATTCAGCTTTAAAGGTGGAAATGCAGCTTGAGGATTAAGCTTCCTCCAGCCTCACATACATGTGCACATCAGGTTTTCAGGGACCTCAAGGCTTCCCCTGGTTTGTGTTCCCCTTGGTGCTTGAGGATAAAATCTAAGAGATACACTTTGAATTCAATTTTCCAGTTACCCCCTTCTGTCCTTGGGCAGCAGAACATATCTGGGTACGGCCCTTGCTGAAGGATGAGGTGGCAAGAGTTGCGTCCTCAACTACTCCTTTCTAACCAGAAGTCACCCAGCTGCTGCCTGTCTCCAACTCAAGCCCCATGTCTCTGGTACATACCTGTTGGGCGTTGGTGGCAAGCGTCTGGATCTGTCCCTGCACGACTTGGGTGCCTGATACAGGCTGGGCTAAGCGGATATACTGCAGCTGGCCAGCATTCAGCTGTACCTACGTCAGGGGCAGACACAAAGAGACCACAAGAGACTGAATTCAATCTCACACAGGCAAGCATCCCATAACCAGATACGCTGATTACCTTCTACCTCTCAAGCCCTCCAAAGAAAAACTCCTTTTAAACAGAGGTCAATACAAGCAACATAACAACACTCCTTGCCCCCAAGTCACACAATACAAATGATGATATGTTTCCTAAATGGACTCAGAAAAAAATCCTAAGAAGATCTTGCCACATGTGTGAGAACGGCATGGCTGTGTGCTCATCCCCTGGGGGCTCTTGACTGATCAGAGCTCATCTAAATAATTTCAGAATGTCTGTACCTTACATGTAGGGCTCTTTTTCCTCCATCTCCACACTTTCCAAGATTGTGCAGAGTTCCAGTTCCACTAGGAACCCAAAGCAGATGGTTACCATGCTGCATCACAGCCCTAGTACTGCTCAACCCTAGGCTGTGCTTTGTGGAGAAAAAGGCTAGTCTGCTTTTATTACCTCTGGCCCTGAGAGCCAGGACCAATGAGGGTCTGTGGAACTTTTGAGGATCCTTGGTGTTCAGCACTAGCTTTTGGCCCAACACTTCCCATGGGAAAGCAGAATCAATAAACCTTTCACAGGAAAACCCCATCACGGGAAACCAAAGCTACAAAAGTGCTCTTAAACTCCCTCATGCTTACGATTAAACCTCAGATAATACAATAATACCACAGACTGCATTTAATTGTGTGCAAAAAGCCTTAACTCAGGCTCTTAACGCTCCAGTGTGCCATGAAAGTATTACCACTTAGAGCTGTGGATAAATGCAGGACAGAGGCAATTACAATGTGAGGAACTATGGCTCAGCAGACAGCAGGCACTAAAGGATGGACAGCAGACACACCTGTGACCGGGGGGCTGAGAGGTCCTGATGGCCCAGGACTGCCTACCTAGAGGGCCCAGGAAACAGCCTCCTGCTGCCCAGCCTGCCTCTGTTGAAAGGGGAAGCTTCTTCAGACTGACAGGCAAGTCATGCCTGCTTGACCTACAGCAAACCATATCCTGGCCATCAAGCACTAACTTCACCACACAAAGAGAAGCATGCTGGAGGGAGGAAGCTGCACTCCTGGATACAGTGGTAAATCAAACACTTCTCTGAAACTTCTGGCCTCAAAAGATCCAAGTCACTGAGAAAATCTGTGAAATTCTTGGCAGAACATTCCAGAAGCATCTGCTAGAGGCAAGATGCTGGGACACAAAATCTAAACCCATTAAGAATCTGGTTCAAAGGAAATAGGGCAAGAGTACTGTGACCTGCAGTCATTTCTTTGCCGAGACTATGCCAAAAGGAGCTGTTGGGAAGTTGTGGCGCCAAACCTAAATTTCCAAGCAAATCCTATGATGCAGCGTCCAGGCTACAATATTAGGTTGCTACTGGGGATTAAGGCAGTGGGGTTGAGGCTTGGGAAATCTCATCTGTTGGGACAAGATAGCGGCTGGGCCCAGGAGTCACCAGACCTCCGGCCCAGGGTCCCTGGATGAAAGACTTGTCCCAGGAGTAGGAGATTAAAAATTTTCTAGCCAGGAAGAACTCTTTCCAGAAACCCCAATGTGCCAGAAAAACCATGAGCCCAATGGTTCCAGCATTTCTGAGAAAGAAGTGAGGAGCTTTTCTTTTTAGACTGAAGTCAAGTCACCCGGTGATGCTCTGTCCCTTAATTGTCCAAGAAAGGGCAGGTCTGATGTTTCTCATGCCTTTTTACTTAATTACAGTAAATAAGCCTACCCACTGGGCTTCAAAAGGGAAGTCAAGTCTCATCCTGAAGGTTATCACTATTATAAGCAGTCTGCTGAGGAGCTGTAGAGTCAAAAATGCAGGCTCCTGAGTAGATGTTGAGACCAGCGAGCATGGGGTTGTAGATTCTGCAACAAATCTTCTGGGCTAAAGCTTTGTGCCTCAAAGTAAAGTTACTGCAAGGTAGAGACTCTTCTTTGGCTTTAATGACCTTGCTTTGGTGCCTTCACACGAAAAAGAACCATTTAAGAGGGAGGCCTTGGGGTTGGTGGCTGGACAATTAGGCAAGGGAGAGCCAAGGCACTTGGAACTGGTGCTGGGTATATGACACAGACACAGACAGACACAGACACCGCTTTCCGAAGCTTTCTCCTGACCCATTACTTGGTAACTTAAGAGGAAGAGAAGTACCTAAAACAGAGCTAAGGATAATATTTGAGCTTTTTTCAAAGAGGAAGTGAGTAAACAAATCCAAGTGCATTTCTATATGAGCCTACATTTCATAAAGGACAGCCCCATGTCACTCACTTTCCAGCTTTTGGTGGGAAAATGACCAAAAATGTTAAGCCTGCAAGTGTTAAGACAATAATTTTTTTCTAATAAAGCTCAAAGGCTGGGGATTTAGCTCAGTGGCACAGGGCCTGCCTGGCAAGCGCAAGGTTGTGAGTTTGATTCCAGGTACTGGAAAAAAACTAAAAAAAAAAAAAAAAAATCTAATAAAGCTCAAGTTTAAATAAAAAGCTAACAAATCTAAGAAATGAAATCTCTCAAGGCACAGAGGAAGCAGCAGCATAATGAAGGAATGAATAAGTTAAATGAAAGCCAAAAACATACTTTGCTGCATGCTCCACTGGGAACTGACTCATGAACATGCAACAAGTGTATTTATGGCCTTCCCCTATACACCTTCCTTTTATTCTCTGTGAATCAAAAGATAGGACTGCCTCATGGGGCCTGTGGGCCTTGGCGTGAGAGAGTGGCTACGACGATTGCTTTGTATAGGTGGAGTGAGGCAAGCTGAGAGAAGCTGCCCAAATGGTTCTATGCAGTGGTGAACCTGAAATAGGATTAAAGCAAAAGGAAAAATAAACACAGTGAAGCAACAAGGTGGGGAGGGCAGAGTGGGAATATAGGTTAAAAACAAAAGAAACATGCACGTGCACACAGAAATGAGTGCAGGTATAAGATGATACATAAAATCATCTTATAATGGGCATTTCCCGTTTTGAGCTGAGAAGGGAGCCATTCAGCCCTGGGGGAGGGCTTACCGGGATCTGCTGGATCTCTCCTGTGTTAGTGATGATCTGCTGCATCACCTGCATAGTCTGTCCCGTACCACTCTGAGCCTGCTGGGCTTGACCCTGTGGCTGGGCCTGGACAATCTGCACCTGCTGACCTTCTCCAACCTGCATCGTCACTGGCGTGGTCTGGAAGAAAGCGTCAAGAGAAAGCTGTTCGAGCTCTGGCTGAGCCTGTATAACTACCAAGGGGCTGACCTGAGATGTTCTTATCCTCTTCCCTACTGCCTAAAAATCCAACACTAATGAGAACCCTTCACCCAGAGTCCTCTGGGTAACAAGAGCATTATCATAGTTACTCCCTGAAATGGGATGGGAAACCCAACCCAGTTTTGGGGCTCATAGTGCAGAATACTTGCTTGGGCCTCAAACATAAAATCCATGCTTCAAATGTTGCAACTTTTCACAGCTCCTCCTATGATAGTAAGGCCCATAAGGCACAGAAAATTAAAAAGTAACCATCTCATCAAAAGTAATCGTGACAGTGTACATGAAAAATGGTCAAACCTGGAGCACGTGAATTTAAAGGAGGGAAAGAAAAGGAAAATGGGATGCATCTACACGAATTTACAAAGTTCAGGAACCTGGACTCCTTCTTAGGCATACAAGACATTGAAAGGAAAATAAAGCACATGGGCTCATCTGTGAGGCTGGGCCCAGTGCACACTGGCTTTTACACCCCACTCAAGCAGCAGAGCAACTTCTGCCCACACTAGCTAAACAGCTGCTCTGGGCCACACCCTGGCTTTCCCACAGGAGAAGTAAACACTGTTAAAACAGCAGACACTGTGAAGACCCGACTCTTAACACAGCCTATCCCTGATTAAAAGAATTCAATAAAGCAAAAACTTAACTTTCTAGAAATGGTAATCTCAGAAATATATATGAAAAAAAAAATATATGACTTGGCAGATTCAGTGTTTCACACATATTGAGTAGCACGCAGTCCTGTGAAGCTTACTCTTTGGTGAGATGATAAAGACTTGAACTGTGCAATCGTCAAGTGTCAACCATTCCTTCACATCTCAAAATGTTACCCCTTGATTGGACCTTTACAGATTACTGAGACAACGGCTCATCTGGTGGCAGTGAATGGAGGTGGGTTAAACTACACTGATACTCCCACTCCCAAGGTTTTAACCCCACTCCAATTTGGAAATGGCCTCTCCCTAGTGTGAACTAAGAACCCTATCAATAAGACAACTCTAGCTTGGGTGTGGTGGCACATGCCTGTAATCCCAGCACTCGGGAAGCTGAGGCAGGAGGAGGATCATTGCAAGTTTGAGGCCAACCTGAGCTACAAGGTGAGCTCAAGGCCAGCCTGAACTGCACAGCAAGACCCTGTCTCAAAAAGATTCCCCCCACCCACCACAAAAAAAATCAAAATAAGACAACTCTGAGTTTCAGTGAGCCATGGGCTTCAGCCAAGGTTGCTATTCTAACGTTCTTAATTCTGACTGCACAAGTCTACTGCACACTACGCATGTAAAGTTACAAGCAAAGGGGATGCATTCTGGGAAGTACAGATGAGATTTCAGGGATTATCAGGTAAAAAGAAATTACTGCAAACTGGAGGAGGATAGGCAAAAAAAGATGGGAGTTCTCAGTAAAAGTATCCGTGATGGCTAGGACAACAAGAAGCATCTCATTTTCAAACCAAAATCTACAACTCAACCTACCCCCAAATTTCCAGAAGAAAGTTTACAATTCATAAAAAGCACAGGTTTTACTTTAGCAAATTACACATTCCTCCCAACTTTGCTTTAATATGTATTCTGTCCTGCAAAGGGTATTTTCACTCAACTTGAAATAGGCGTCACTACAGGTCCAGGGAGGTGTGACCCAGCACGAGGCCACCCTGAAGCAGCAGGACATTACAACAGCTGGGAGGGACTAACTTCACCATCCTCACAAGCCTTATCAGTTCCAGGCCAAACAGGTCTGGCTTGGCAGAAAGGAAAACAGATGAAACTCTTGCTGACTCAAAAGAAAGTATGCTGCCAACTCATCACTGTACTATATCAACCCAATTTTCCCGAGAGGATTCCTAAGGTATTTCTAAATCGTTTCAGGAAAATGAGGGCTTCTGTTAGCATGGCAGCTGCCAAATCACGTCTGGTGTGCCCTGCTGTCAGGGCACAACGGCTATAAGCTCCTTAGGATCATCAGCCAGTCAGGGCCAGCCTTTGGCAGACTCCCCTGATGTTCGTGCTGTAAAGGGATAAAGCCTTTGGCAGGTACACAGCAGGCATGAAGTCCACTGCAGAGGCACAAGCATGAGCCAGAGAAGGTCCCTTGGGCATCACGGTGCAGTGAGTGCCTTGAGGCAAGGACTGGCTGTAATCATCTTTAAACCTCTTCTGCCTAGCACAGCACTGAACACGGAGCAAGCACTCAATAAGTTTCCTGTATGAATAAAAGAGTGGAGAATGAATCCTAAACTCATAATTAATATTTAAATGCATTTGTTTTCTCCCAGGCAAACCCAGTTCCTTACTATAATACAAAAGACTCTCCAGGTGTGCTCCCTAGACTTGCCTAGATGGTCCCCTGCATTACTTTTGCTTGTGCTACACCCTGTCCTGGCATTATCAATCATTCTGTCCTACTTTATTTAACTTCTGGTGGTTCCTCAAAGGCTTGTATCATTCCCTACAGGAACCATCCCTAATCATCTTTGTTAGAATCTTCTTTAGATGTGCTCCCTCAATATCTGGTACACAACTCTAAGCATGTTTTACACTTTCCACATGGCAGATTAGCCTTTGTGGCCCCGATGAGATTATGATTATCTTGAAAATCAGGATTATTTTATTCATGTTTATATTCCCAATACCTATCACACAAGACTTTACTTGGAGAATGATTGTGTGATAAATAAACTAATCACGGACAGATTTTAGATTCAGAGCTCATAGCAGGAGGTCCTCTACAGTCTCATACTCCTGGTAGACAATACTATTCTCAACAGTACTATGGGGGGTGTTGAAAGAATCCTCTGATAATGATTACAAAAAGAGGTCATCTGACACAAATTTGGTAGGGCAGAGAAATGCCAGAGAGAAGAGAGGAGAGTATACAAGTTAGCAACGATGCCTGATTCCCCCTACTCAGCAAACAAATTTTAGTTCTGGCACTGATACACAACAGGCACGAAGTCCACTGAAAAGACCTCTACAAAGAGCCTACAGCTCTTCATGGACCCATTAGAGAGATTACTTTTCCTTCCAAAATTTGTGAGCTCACTTGGGTCCTGAAAATCATCTTGTCCATGGCGTAGTCCTTATCTGACCCAGGGAGGGAAAATGGAGTCCAGAGATGATTAAGTGATACTGCCTCTGTGGCTGCACCTGGGCAAGAGCTCCGGGCTCCAGACTTTAAACCCAGTGCTCTCTCACGATGCGGCTGCCTCCTGGGCCTAGTCGAACTTTCCCCTCCCAAGCCTAAGAGGCACCGGTTTGCAGGGTGGGTGCCCAAAGCAGCTCACACACCTGGCCCTGCTGAGGCTGTGCGATGATGATCTGCCCAGGCTGGATGGTGGTCGTGGAGCTGGTGGTCTGCTGGCCTTGCTGCTGCCCCTGGACTTGGACAGCAGTGGGCTGCTGAGCTAGCGTGAAGTAATACTGGACAGGCTCGGCAGGAGTCACGGACTGGCGCACCTCCTCCTGTGGGGTGGAAGGAGAGGCAGGTAAGAGGAAAGAACCGACTCAGCAACCGCCACAGTGAATTTCCACTCTTCCCCAAACAGGCTATGTGCAGTTGCCTGCTGAATGCTGAGCGCTCCACATTTGAAGCCAAAGGAAAGTGAAATTCGAAGAGACCAGTTGTGCTAAATCAAACTAAAAATAACAGATTCTATAGGCTTCACAAAACATACAGCCAATCTTCTGAAGTACTGAGTAATCATCTACTGCGTGATGAGCTGCAAACGGGCAAATAATTACCATAACTAAATACTATGCACCAGCAGCGCTTGTCAGTAACTGCTGTCAGGGCCTGTGACTGAGAACGCTAATTGCCAGCATTGGGAAGATGCTACCCAAACACCATGCAGCTCAGGCTGGGCTCCATCTCCCAAACAGACAGCATTCTTCTTACTTTGTTCCCACCCACTCTGGGACACAGTGGAGCAAAGGGGACCAGGGCATTTCCTGAGCTAGAATTTCAGACTCAGATATCAGGTTCATGAGCACTGGTAAGTGAGTTGCTCAGCTCTTCACAGCACATCAAAGGCTGCAGTTTCGGAGCGCATGTCTATCCAGCATCATATCTGGTTCTGGTTGTACTTAGCCACAGAAGCGCAACCCCGGGGGCCTGATGGACAGCTCTCTGCTGGGGTGCTGCCTTGGCTGACTAGGGAGTCGCATTCTGTCCGATATGCCGAGTGAAGAGACTGTTCCTTCTTCAGCTGACGTTTTCCATGGCAGAAGGAGTAAACAACCCTCTCCCAGCCACCTTGAGCTCACAGCTGAGAGTGTAGGATGTTTACACACACTACAACATGGTTATGGCCTAGAGGATCTGGGCTTGGTTGGCCCTCGACTACTGACACAGAGATTGGCGTCTGATCCGTAGTCACCTGTGACACGCAATGCCCCTGCCTGGGACAACGAAAACAACAAAACATGCAACCTTTGGGACAAGAATAACATCAAAATATACAATCAATGTAGGCTGGCTGAGTAAAAGTATTAGCTAAATTTACTCACTCCCCTGTTCTGAGTTAGGTCTGCCAGGTTTCAGAAAGAGAAAAAAAAAAAAAAAGTTCTTTACTAATCAGCGACCCTGTGGACTGCCTCAAAGCTCCGCAAAGAGACATTTACAAAGTCAGAATTGCCCTCATCCCCTCAGCAAGCTAGGTACCAAAATGTGCTTCCAGGGTGCTGTGTTCATGATCTGTTTTGGTAACTGCATGTCAAATTTAGCTGTTCTGCTAAAATCTATGAGGGCAAATAAGATCTCTCTCTGGTTCCCCATTGTCCCCACCATTCCCATGCAGGCACTTAGTAGGTGCTGGGACTGCAGACATCTAGCCTCTGACACACTGGGGTCTCTGCATAACAAGGTTCCCTCGGGGTCATAAACCCAGACAGGGGGGCTATTCATCACCTGGGTGTCTAAGCAAGTCCCTTAAACATAAACTGATCACTTAAGTTCTTATGTTCTATGTCTCAGACTCAGTTTAAATCTCAATATGATCACGCTGAGGTAGAAGAAAAGGGAGATCACTTTTACTTACATTAGGTCTCAATTTCTAGAACAACAATGACAATGTCAGATCCATTTCAAGTCCATCTTTTCATCATTATAAACAAGGTCATTCTGGCAACCAAGTCTTGGCTATGACAGGGACAAAACAGTGACACCCCTCTAAGCCATGAAACTGAGGCTAACTGCTCTTTTCAAAATTGCTGAAATAGGTTCAATATACTTTCCACTGAAGTCCTCCTTTGTATCTAATTAAAAACACAAATTATAAATCCAGACCCAACTTGGAAAAGCTCTTGGGTGATGAGAAGATACTGTACAGAGGACCGAGAGCCTCAGCAGCTTGCAGGCAGTCAGTCAAGTGACATGGGGACATTGGCATTTACCAGCCCTAACCTGTGACTGTCTTGTTTCTAGCTGTCCCTGGCGACAGCTAATCTAGCATTGAATACTGTCTTTCTACCAGACAAAAAGCAAACCCTTTAAATACTCCTTTTAGAAGCCAAAACACCTTTTGCCAAAAGTCGTGCAAGTAGGTAGAGAGCTTTTCCTATCCTTCCCATTGCAGCTTCTTAGACGGTTAGTGAACTAGGCAGAGTTAAGGACAGCAGTAAGTATCAGGTAGTGAGGCCTATGCTCATGTGAGGAAAAGGCATGACTGTTCTCAAAGTACTGAGATGAAGGAAGAATATCTCAGGTTCCACACTATGAAGACTCATTATTCTACCAATGGAGGTCAAGCCAGCAAGGGAATGATTCTTGATTTAAGAAATGTGTGAAAAGGTAGTGACATTTCAATGGGCAGGAACTTTCAACTCATAGCTGGGGCAGAAGTCAGACCTCAACAACGTTCTATTTACAGTCTTTACTGCTTCCCTGAGAACAAGTGAGATTTCTAAGTGTCTCTGAGAAGTCAGGGCCCTTAGACCCACAATTCAATATTCTGGCTAGCTCCTTCTCTCAAGAGGGGTACATGGCCCCAAGCACTAGAACAACCCCTGAATATCTAGATCAACCCTGAATGGGGCACTTGCTCAACTTTAGGAGTGGCCTCTCCAACCAGAGAGCCTGGTCTTGCAATCTTTTCAAAAGTTGAGCCTGACAATGCCAGAGAATGATCAACATCACATCTCGGGGCCTCACTACAGTGTTGTGCAGCCAGCCTCAGACTGGGAAAAAAGTACATTCACTTTAATAGCAAGAGTGAACTGCTGGCTCCTTCAGAAAGGGCGAGTTTTGGAGAGTAGGCGCTTTTAAAGGACTTTAGGAGGTGCCAGCCAATTTGGAACTTGGGAAAACTTCATGTCTACAGAGGATTAAAAATGCTATCTTAGAATTTCAGGCCAGCTTTCAGCAATCTTAACCTTTTAAAGGCCAAGCAGCAGCTGTCCCAAATAGGATGCCAATCAATAGCCTGAACACCTACAAAGAACTAAACCCAGGCAGCAAGCTGTTTCAGCTAGACACACTTTAAAAGGAGATGGATCAGAGAATTTTGAGTCTGATACCCAAGAGACTCAGAAGCATTGAGAACTGTGGAGGAAAGGACAGGACAAGACCCCTTTCTCCAGCTGGTCTATCCGGTAGGCAGCTCACAGAGAACAAGGAGTTTGCACAAGGAAATTGAGCAAGGCCTAATTTCATCATTGAGTTTTCCTCCTTGTTTTTAAACGGAGATTTGGAGGGACACATGGAGGGAAAAGTCCAGCAAGGAAAGCAGGTATATTATTTCCCTGAAGAAAAAGAAGTGCACTGAGTTCTTGCTGTGACTTCTCAGAGAGAAGCAAAGCACCCCAAGACGAGGAAATCAAGCCCATGGGCACAAACCTGCAATGTCTCAAAGCCGATGTGCAGCTGGGGACGACCGTGGCAGCCTGCCGCTGTAAACATCCGACTGAAAGCTCCTCTGAACACTTTACAGCTTCCAGTCAAGGATGTTTACAGTAGCAAAGACTGCCCAGAAAAACAGAGCCGCAGTGAAGCACACCCTGCTCCAGTAAGAAGGTGACACAGGGTTTGCTAATCCAAGGCCCTCATGCAGGGTCACAAGGCCAATTAGGATGCCCACCTGTCCTATACTTTCTCTGACTGGTTATTAATATGGGCCAGCATGGGGAGAATAGGGACAGCGTTTGTCACTGATGACTCTTATTTCTGAGGATAATATACTATGAAATAATGTTAAATTTTATTAACAAAATAAAGCAAGCAGAACAAGGAACAGCTTTGCTCCTGCAAGACTGTCACTATTTCTCAAGTGTTTCCACTGCACCTACTGAGTCATGCAAACTGTCTGCCTAAAACAGTGAGCTATAGGACAGGGGTCTGTTACATCATAATTAAGAGCTATATGCACCAAGTGCTGAAAAAACAATTGGTGTGACCACAGGAAAAGGACGGGCCGATGAAAGGGGCAGGCAGAGAGACACAGTCTTTCTTGTGATTGTCAAGAAAACAGTTTAAGTGGTGGTTCTCAATTCTGGCTGCACACTAAAAGTATCTGGGAGCTTTAAAAAGTACTGATGCATAGGCCCCAGCAGCACAGATTCTGATTCAGCTGATGGGGATGGAGCCTGGGACTTTAATCAAACCCCAACAGGTGTTCTTATGTGCAGTCAGGGCAGTATAGAGAGTACAATACAGAGCAAGAGAAAACAAAGTCCACTCACTCCAAATACCATTGTGCACACAAGAGAAGCTGTTTCTTAAAATCTGAAATCTGTAACTCATGAGGAATGATCTCCCATTCCAGATTAAGAACTCTGATAAGACTTCATAAGAAACTCTGAAATGTGCTTCACTCTCCTGTTCCTAACTGAAGTCTTTTTCATTTTGTCTGTTTTCACTGAAATACCACCTCAGAGGCACTGAGTTAAAAGTATCCATAGATGAATGAGAGAAGGGGATGTTAGGGATGGCTGTGGACTGAGAAGAGGAGCAACAGGAACAGCACATGCCTGGCGTGGACAGAGGGACAGCGTATCTGAGGGCAGTGCACCAAGGCCTTGCAGCCTACAGCGTGGCAACGCCTTCCCCGCTCACCTGGCGCTTTGGAGGTTTCAGTTCATCTCTTGGAACAATATCGATGAGAAAGTCAAACTGATCAAATTTTGTTATTGCCATGGCGATATCATTCCTCTGTAACAAAGAAAAACAAAATGAAATTGGCCTTGGGAGAAACTAGTTTTCCTGGCTTTATACCCTCCAAGTAAGAAATGGAAATGACTTTTAAGTGGAACTAAATATGCCTGGCCACATCTACAGCTGAAAAAAGCACAGCCAAATTCATGAACTTCAAATCTGGTAGGGGGAAAAAAAAAAATCAACAGAAAAAGAGATACAGGTAGCTCACACTCTAAAATGGGACACTGGAGCTTCCAATCACTACTTCTTCCTCTGAGGCCCACAGCCCTCCACACAATTGTCAAAAGTATTATCCTCCACCTAAATTAGGACAAACTCAGCAATCTCAACTGGCAAGTCTGGTCATTCTGTGGTTAGCAAGGACAGCGTATTATGCAACTTATAACCTTTTTTACACTCTAAGTAATATTTTGTCTCTGCTTCACAAGTGGTTATAGACTAATCACTTTATATATATTAGGTCCCATGAGACTGTGATTTTAATTTTGGAATTAAAAATTGCAGTGATAAATCTATAGTTTAAATCTGGCTTTAAAGCTGGGCATGGTGGCACATGCCTATAATCCTAGCACTTGGGTGTTTGAGGCAGGAGGACTGCCATGAGTTCGAGGCCAGCCTGGGCTACATAGTGAGTTCGAGGTCAGCCTAAACTGCATAGCAAGACTCCGTCTCAAAAAAAAAAAAAATCTGGTTTTAGCTGAGCATGGTGGTGCACACCTGTAATCCTAGCATTTGGGAGGGTGAGGCAGAAGGTAAATTCAAGGTCAGCTGGAGCTACACAGTAACTTCAAGGCCAGCCTGGACTATACAGCAAGACCCTATTTCCAAAACTCCAAACCAACAAACAAAACAGGTTAAGTGTGAAACTACATTGAAGATATCAATATGTAATACAATAAGCATTGTTAATTCCCTACCACTCTGTCTGTAACTCTGTAATGTCTGTACTGATCCTATGCTATTTTGTAAAATGTTATCGGTCTGTTAGTATTTTCCTCCTTTAATTTCTAAAATAAAATAAAATAAAATAAAAAAAAAAGAGAAAACAGGTTAAGTGTGACAAAAATGTTGAAGTACGCAGAGAACATAGGAGTCAGCTAATGGTACCAAAAACAAGGCTTGCGGGTTTTGTAAAAAATGTGGTATTTCCTTCCTTTGAATAGAATAAGATAAAAACCAACACACTGAATACCTTTAAGATGTGTTTACTGAAAAATTTAAAACAAATTTTAGGGCTGGGGATGTGGCTCAGTGGCACAGTGCCTGCCTGGTAAATGTGAGGCCCTGAGTTTGATTCCCAGTACCAAAACAAAAAGCAAATTTTAAAAATCCAGAAAAATAGTGAACTCTAGTGAAGGATAGGCACACTGAAGCACTCAGGGCAAAGTAAACTTTGAAATGTACTTAAAAATAGGTGATCAATAGGTAAGTAACAGAGATAGGGGATACATTAGTACAACAGAATGTTAATGGTAGAAAATGGTGGCAAACACGTTCACTGTGAACACTGCTTATGTTTGAAAGTCTTCAAAATAATATACCAAGGGAAGAGTCAATCTTCAGCAACCTCTATATACCACAACTTAAGGGAAGGTGACTCATCAGACAAAGTAAGAGGGGATGGAAATTTCCTGTTTTTTCCTTTCCCTGGTATCTGTGATGGCCTCATGCCACTGAAATGCAAAACTCCAGTCCACCCTTCTTGCCAACAACCAGCTTGATAATAAACCTCCCAACTGAAGCAGGCCATATCTGAAAGACTGCCAGGGCTCGTCTGGATCACATTCTTTATGATGTCACCTACTCAAATTATCTAACTCATTCATCTAAGGATAAAATGGACAAGGAAGGAGACTATAATCATCTCCAAAAGTACATCAAAATGTTTAAGAGTACTTTAGAAACATAGACATACTTAAATTGACCTGTCTAAAGTTTTTATTTTGCCTTTTTAATGTTAATACTTTACTGTGCTATTACTCATCTTCAGTAAAATATGACATCTTTAAGCACAACAATCTGATGGATTTTGATACACATTTAGCCAGGTAGGTAACACCCAGATAAGAATATAGAAAGTTCTCTTCTAATCTTTTCTAGTAAATGCCCTTCCCACTGCAACCCCTCCCCACTGCAATCCCTAAACTGGAGGCAATCACAACTCTAATTTTTATCACTGTCATGGTGACAGTGTATGGTACTGTGTACTATGTAAGTTTTTTGTTGAGTTTATTTTGCTTATCATGTCTTTTGAAATTCATCCATGTTATATGGAGCAATAGTTTATTTCTTTTTATTGTTGAGCAGTAATACATGTAATGAATACATCTAGATTCATTTATCTATTACTGTACTGATGGGTGTCTGAGCGGATTCCAGTTCTGGGTTATTATGAATAAGGTTGTTATGCGTATTTTTAGCTAAGAATGTCCACATTCTTTTTGGGTGCCCATCTAGGAGGAGAATGGCAAGTCAGAGTAGGGAATATGTTTAACTACTTTACATTCTAACTAGCAATATATACTTAATCAATACTTAGTACTGTCAATCTTTTTTATTTTAGCCTTTCTAGCATGTGTACATCAGCATCTTAGTACGGTTTCAATTTATATTTACCAGATAACGAATGATGTTGAACACCTTTTCACAACTTGTTGTTTATTTGGGTATCTTCTTTTCTGAAACTGCCATGAGGTCAAGGCCAGCCTGGGCTATACAGTGAGGCAGGTTAGAGTGTTTCCCTATTTTATTTTTTAATCTGAACTGATCCTGAAGGTAACTTTAATAGGATCTTTTTAGGTCTACAGACTTATTTCAAGGCAGTATAAATTGTTTTCCATTTTCCACATGTACATTATTCACTAGTGCTCCCCAGAGCCAGAACAGTGCTTGCATATTGTGGCAGGCCAGTAAACAATTGTAGAATAAACAAACACGTGCATTTCCAATTTTGTAGATAAAGGAAAACAAGAGGAGAAAATGGAATTTACTTTCTTGACTTTATTAAAATACTGTCACTCTTTTTTTTATCTGTCACACTCTGTCTTTTATGTAAGAAACCTTTCCTATAAGAGCCAGGATCTGATCAGGGCTCCTAGAGCTAATCATCAAGATCATTACCTACAATATGAATGTTGAATTGCTAGGTTAAAATAAAATACACAAAAAAGGAACTTCTAGAAGATAGACAAGGGGGGAAAACAGCTAATGATGCTGGTGAAACTGCAGACTTTTCCTGGAATTGTCCTTTCTAGAGTCTTTCAAGGCTTTCAACAGAAACTGTTTACATCTGGAAACAGATTAATACTCTATCACTTGAGTCTCTGTTTAAATGAAGGTTCACCAGTCAGTAAGTTGTAAAAATTATGAGAACTGGAATTCAGGCTTCTTGGTAAGGAAATACTACTATCATTGTGGTTGCAAGGTATGTCTGCATCCCAGTGCAGAGGAGGATGCCAATTACATGTTAACTTGACACAGGCCAAAGGAAGAATAATCTGTGGTCCAAAGCTATGCAAGGGAGAGAGGCAAAGGCTGCTGCTTGGCCCAGTTTTCCCAATGCACATCTGTAGTATTACCTGAAGTGTACGGCGCTTGTTATCCTCTGTGTGGATCCAAGCTCGAAGAGTCAGCTCTGTGATAAAAATCTGGGCTGCCTTGGCAAAGAGCACAGGGGCTTCTGCACTGATCATCTGAAACAGATATAAGCCCTTCCTGTCAATCACCAGCAAATCATCCAAACCTGTCAGTTGTCTCTTGACAAATGTTAAAATATTAGAAGGTAGTAGCTGAAAAGACTCCAAAGTAAAATAAATTCATGAGTAGGGAAAAAGCAGGTAACAAGATGGGAAGAGAGAAAGAATACTTACTGATCTAGCACCTACTATGCAACAGATCCTATGCAAAGTGCTTTCTTACCATCAAAATTTCAAAGAAACTATAGAGTTTAAGAGGGATGGTATGATGTCCCCATGGTCACAGAACCAGTAAATGATAGGGTTTAGATTCTAATCTAAAGAAAGACAACGAGGGAAAAGATAATGATCTTGAAAGCCAATGGATCTGGGTAAAATCTCAGACTTCTCATTTTTCTGGACTTTTTCTAACACTGAAAAAGATAATAACTTTCCATTGTTATCATGGGGACCAAATGAGATACGAAGTACCCAGCACAGGGTTTGGCATATAGTAAGGGCTCGAGTTGTCTTGACGTGTCTGACTTCCAAGTTCAAGCTCTTAGTCAAACAAGACTTTACACCCTTGGTGAGGTGGTTTGCACAAGAAACAGCCACATGAAGCGCTTCAGAATTAAGCAAGTAGGAGATGAGAAATGGGATCTTAGTTCTACCATAATAGGTGAATCACCCCATCTCTTGGCATCTACTTCCATATCTGTCAAATGGAACTAAGAATCCCTATCCTATCAAATCTCACAGAGTTGCTGTGAGAAGGGAGCTAATAAAAGGAAAAACTGTCATAAACTGTTAACTTTCTGGGCAAACACAAGAGATTGTCAGTTTTGAGAGGTAAAGAGTCATAATGGGAGGTAGACTCCCAGGAATACAGAAATGACCAACCCCAAGGAAATCCTCTCACTAGTATAATTCACTCGTGTAAAATAAAGGAAAAAAAAGTATCATCATTAGAAATTTCTTAGAGCTGAGATTAATAAAGATTACAGCAAGATGGTAACATAACAGCACCACCCTGTTGATATGATGATATATGTTATGTATACCACACACTGTGAAAAAATTGGGTGATACCACCTGATTTCAAAAGCAAATACTCAGCATCGTCTCAATTATCTGGAAAAAACTAGGATATGCCAAATTTTCAGAGAAGTATCCTATAATAATTAAAGCCACTTAATTTCAGCTTAGTTTTACGTAGAAACAAAATTTTAAAAAAATGACAGAAACAGTATTTTTAATTAAACTTTAAGCTCTTGAGAAACAAGCAACATCATAACCAACATTTAAGCTTCAAAATGAATGATAAAAATAAATATGATTCACCTTCACATCTTCATCCAGTTTCATAATCTTCTTAATACGAGCGAGTGGGAGTTCTTGTACTCGGAAATCTTTCTGAAATAAGCAACACAAGGTACGTAAGTGGTGGGGACAATCAACAAGGTGGCAGAACACACAGACAGTAGTAAACACTGACTGGCTTAGACCTTCCTTTCAGGAAATATGGTAGAAGAGGCAGGACAGATGAAATAAAGAAAAAAGCATCAAAGAAAAATTCTTAACCCATGCAGAACTTCAAATAATAGTAAGGCTTTAGGAAAAACTCATAATGACTTCAAATACTGCCCTCATGAAAGGCAGCCCCAACCAGTATCAGGGTTCTCTGCCTCAGCACAGTACAGGGTAGATTACACGTGCTTTCTTTCCTTTTTCTTTCTCTCCTAAGAAAGTTTACTGCCTGTAATATGCAGACTAAAATGAGATTTCTGCCTCAAGAGCATTCCTCTAAAATACCAGTTCTTTAGGGACTGTAAAGGCCAGGGTCAGCTGCGCCTGATCACAAGGACCCACACTTCTCAGCTCATGTGACTGGCCTTTCTGACCTTGGCGTTAACCTGACAACAGAAACGGGACAGGCTGCTTTCTCATCACAGCAGCAAAGGCCTTGTCTCCCAAATTCATTTCAGGACGTGAATGGAAGGGAATGGGAAAAAGGCGACAGGGAATTTTCCAGCTGCCTTTTAGCAATAGCCTTGCTACTTTTTTCTTAACAAAAGGACTGGGGCGGAAGAAACATACAACTTTATTGTGGACGGGATTTAGGAAAGGGCTCTTTGACTAGAACTACTCAATTATGTGTTATTTGAGCCTTTTCCTTTTTTATTTTGAAAGTATTGGTATTTAAACACAAGCCTCATGATGGATGCAATTCTAGAAATAAACATCAATTTATGAGTTTCTGAGTTGCAATGAAGAGAAAGGTACAAAGGTAGAGGCTAAGATCAGCAAAATCTGTGCAGGACCAGGTGTCAAGTGGTGGATTCTATATGTGGTCTGAAATGTGACTCATCAAATTCAGTACTATCGCCTAGAAATCTGCATCATCACACTACAAAAGGAGAAGCTATTATTATTTCAGATTTAATGAAAGTAACAAGCACAAGTAAACTCTCTTTTCTAAATCCAGCTGAAAACTTCAAATATATGTCAAAGAAGACACTCGGGGAAACCACCATCTGGCTTTCCAAAGCCTACTTTATGATTATAGAAGAGCAACCATTAAAATAAAATGTAAACCAAAGTAGCTAATTTCTCTACGTAAACCCAAAAAGTTGTTTGGTTACCATTCAGCTCTACAAATTTTAAGTATCAATTTTTCATTTTTTCCTCTTCCAAATCAGGTATCAACATTTTCCTTGCAGGCCCTGGTAAAACTAATCCTGGACTGGCAGAAACTTAGAAGCCCACTTTACTAAAATTTCACCAAAAGGCAATAGCAGGGCATATTCATTCTATTCTTATTCTTATTTTTTTCTCCTCCTTTTCATTTTATTCATTCACACAACCCAACTAATAGTGAGTATATGATGCCTACTAGTAAGTGAAGATGCATGTTTATTCCTGCTTTTGAATAGCTTGTAATTTGTCAGAGACAAGCACATAAAAACATTGCAATTCCTATCCTATACTAGAGGGGAAGGTGTAAAATCTCAGAGGGACATGAAGAACCAGCTGGGGGTGGAAGGAAAGGAGAGGAGCTGCGAAATGTCCCACAGGGACAACAGTGGACCTGTTTCTTTTCCTTTTTTCTTTTTTTTGGTGGACCTGTTTCTAAGAGATGTTAAGAAGGCACCAGGATGTCATTCAGAGAGAAGAGCAAGCACAGAAGCAAAGAGACCCCAAACATGGTCTACTGAAGTTCTCAACATATGACCTGAAACAGAGGGGAACAGTAGGAACAAGCAGGCTGGAAAAAAGTCAGACTCTAAAAGTATTTTTTTTTTTTTTTTTTGGTTTTTCTCTGGTACCGGGAACCGAACTCACGACCTTGTGCTTGCCAGGCAGGCGCTTTGCCGCTGAGCTAAATCCCCAGCCCCTCTAAAAGTATTTTTAAAAAATGTTTATTCACAGAAATCAATCCCTGGTTTTCTTTCTTGTGTAGCACATCACACAAAACGAAGATGTTACCCACAAGTGCCAGAGAGAAAGTGAAGGATGCTAATTCCTTTGGAAGGCCTCCTAAGATGGTACACATAAAATGTGATTATGACCACAAGAGTTAACTTTCTTGGAAGTGTGCTCTCATTTCACTCAGTTGTTTAATATAATTTCCACCAGACTTTCATAATTACTTAACCAAACCCCAAAGCAGATAAAAAAAGACCATCTTCCCAAACTTGAAAGAGTAAAATGCCACTTTAGAAGTCTTATGGGACTATAGTTTAATCAAAAGGAACAAAAAAGGGCACGGATAAAGAGATATCCACCCCTACCTACTAGAGATGTGAAATGAGGCACAAATTTACAGAATGCTTGCTTTAAGTCCCTACGCTAAATACACAGTTTGAGAGAAACTACCTTTCCATGATCTCCAAACCTTAAGGATCTCAAGGGCATGTGTGTAAAGTAGGTTCTGAGGGGTGTGTGTATGTGGGGGTCACTGCTAGCTGTTTCTAAATTCCACCTAGCTTTCCAATCACACAAAAGGGTTTGCAGTCTGTCGGGAGGGAGCCTCTCACTACCAGCAGACTGCAATCCACTGAATCAGCTTCCAATCTGATGCTGCCAGTTACTGGCACTCCTATACTTATGTGAACAGCATTTAAAGCTCCTCACTGGTGCTGACACAAGAAGAGCAAAAGACCACAACTGTTTCCCTCTGCTTTTAGGAGCAGTACCAGTAAATAGATGAGCAGATTCTCTCTCAGAGTAGTCTCATGTTCCTGACCACAATTAAAAAAAAAAAAAAACAAACTGTATTTAAAATGCTGCTATCGGCTTCTCTTTCTTCAAAGGAGCTCCATTCTCTGCCTTCACCCTTGGACATTATCTCTTGCCTTCTAGCACAAACTCCTCAGCTTCTGGTGCACATCTTTTGGCCTCCTGGCATAGACTCTTCAGCCTTCCATTGCAGATCTATTGGCCTCCTGATATGAACTCAAGGGACACTGTACTGAGCTCCAGATCTTGGACTGAATCCTTTCCATCTCCAGGGTGCAGACACCCTCTGCACTCTTCCTCATCCAGTTCTGTGGGTGGCCATCATAAGCCAACCTTGAAATTTCTTATACTGTATACCACGTGTTATATCTGTTTTTCCAGTACAACACTGACTGATACACCACACAATCTAGCAATCCCGTTACTAGATATATATCCAAAGAAATTAAAATCCCTATGTTGAAGAAATATCTGCCCTATTTACAATAGGCATGATGTGGAATTAAGTTTCCATCAACAGAGGAATGGATAAAGAAAATGTGGTAATTATATATATACCATGGAATACTATTTGGTCATAAAAAGAATGAAATGCTGTCATTTGTGACAATATGGAAGAATCTGGAAGATACTAGGTTAAATGAAATAAACCAGCCACAGAAAGACCAAAAAAAAAAAAAAAAAAGCCGTCCTCTGAAACAGCCAAGTTTCAAGAGGCCTGAATTTACTCCGTGACAGTTTGAAGCCAAAGAAAAAGAAAAGTCAGTGGATGTCAGGCTGTACAGAAGAATCCAGAGTTTCAAATAATGATAGAAGTTTCTTCTAGGGCTGGGTAGCTGACATTTGGGAATGTCAAGATCCGAATCCTCCTGCAATCAGTGATTCTCAACTTTGGCTACATGTTGGAATCCCTTGCGAAAAACAAGGTGCCTGAGTTCTCCCAGTTCACCAAATCAGAAAGTCTAGGGGTAGTCTTGGTAGGAGGTTTTTGCAAACTCCTTAGATGATTATGATCCAAAATGAAGGTGAAGGACCACTGCTTTAAAGCTTTGCTTCACGAAGTGGTAACTTCAGGTACAGCAATGGTATCACTTGGAAACACACACATACCCCGGAGAGTCTCAGGCTCCACTTCAAATTTACTAAAACAGTGTCACTTTGAACAAGGTCCCCCCTCCAATGGTTCACCCACAATAAAGTGTGACGAGTACTATTCTACAGGAAGAGCTCACATCTGTTTTGTAAGAGACCACCAGCTTTCATCACCAAGTTCTTATTCAAATAGTTATCTGATTTGATCACAGTGTTAGAAATGTCTTTGTCCAATCTAGAGGCACCAAGGAATGAAAAGATGGTACTATCAATTAAAGGAGTGATTCAGGTATTAAATTATAGCTAAGTGAAGGCTAAACAACATGTAGGGAATAAGTTAAGGACTAGATTTTTCTTTTCACGGCAAGGTGTCGCAAGCTGGTAATCCCAGCACTTGAGGGGCTGAGGCAGGAGGATTGCCATGAGATCCTATTTCCACAAAAAAAAAAAAAAATTTGCCTTTTTCTTCTCCATTTCCAAAGAGGTCCAGAGGGATAAAATTCAATCCCATAAAGTCCACTACAGTCCACTATTGTGGTGTATATTTGTAACCTCAGCACTTGGGAAGCTGAAGCAGAAGAATCACTGTGAGCTCAATGCTACTCTGGGCCACATAGCGAGACCGTCTCAAAAAACCAAAACAAACAAACAACGCTCGTTACTTATTACTCCCTAGAACTCAAAATCTGTTGTACATTTTAATAGAATTTTTAACCAGCTCAAAACTTGGATGAAAAACCGAAAACTTTTAAACACGAAACATGATGGCCCAGCTAAGATAAAAGATAAATTCCTTCTGCAGAACTAAGACCAAAATGACTTGGCCAGAGTGTCTAACACATTATGAAACGTATCAAGCTAGGAAATTTCAATCACACTTTTAGTACTGTTGACATCTGCAAAGGCAAAAACTAAATGCTAAAATGTTTAGCCATGCCCAGCCAGGTGCAGTGGCACATGTTTGTAATCCCAGCACTTGGGAAGCTGAGACGGGGATCATCACACGTTCAAGACCAGCCAGGGCTACACAGTGAGTTCAAGGCCATTCAGAACTACACAGCGAGATCCTATCTCAAACTGTTCCCCCACCAATGTTCAGCCATGCTGCATACGCAGAGGTATAATCAGAAAAGCAGATGCCTGCAAGTGCTGCAGTTACAGCGTCCAAGCACAGAGGAAAAGTAAGTCTTACAAAGGGAAAAATCATCCCAATTTTACTGGATCAAATTCTCACTGAAACTTCTAACTCATGTTACGCTGCACTAAATCTAAAGTGGAGGAGTCTGATTCACTCAAATATTGTGCAGTTACTACATGTCAGACATTTTCTAAGCAGATGATGCCATAGCATCATAGCATGGTAGAGGTCTAGGAGTCTTTTCCAATGACATACAGCAGGAAAATTTCAGTTAAGTCATCAACAGAAGAACAACTAAAGACAACCCCTCCTCCCATCCCCACCCCAGATTGAACCTAGGACTGTACCACATGCTGGGCTAGCACTTTATCACTGGACTACATCCCAGCCCTGCAACTTCTTGCTCTTCCTTCAGTCACAAAACTGAGCCAAACTGAATCTCTTAAAGTTACCAATTCTCTTTAAGCCTCTCATAGACTATTTCTATGCACTAAAATCTGGTCAATAACTCAGTTTGCTTTGTTGGTAATCAAACTTAAAAGGTAAATACAGTAGGTTAAAGATCAAAGGCTGGGGTCTCAAAGAGCTAAGTACCCATGCACACACATGTACACATCAGCACCATTCATATAGCTAGCGGATGGAAACACTGAAGTATCCCTCAGCAGGTGAATGGATGAACAAAATGAGGTATATACATATAATGGGATATAACATTCATCCTTTAAAAAGAGGGAAGTCTTGTCACATGCTACAATACAGATGAAACTGAGGACATTACAGTAAGTGAGATAAGTCCATCACATGACAAATACTGTATGAGTCCACTTATATCAAGTGTCTAAAGCACTCAAGCTCATAGAATCGGAAAATAGAATAGAGGTTACTAGGGGCTAAGAAAGGGGAATTGTTTAATAGGTAGAGTTTCAGGTCTGTAAAGATGAAGAAATTCTAAAGATGTGTTCCACAACAGTGTGAATATAATTAAATCCTAGTGGACATTTAAAATGATTAGGGTGGTAAATTTTGTTTGTTTTTATCGTAACAGCAATAAAACAAAGCCCAGGAAGATACAGAAAAGTTAAGTGCTGAGTGTCCTAATCATCACAGTGTCTCTGACCACTTGCTAGTTCTAGATTTACATCTCTGACCTCCAGCTGGAGCACAGACTTGCTGTGCTGGCCTCAGTCGACAGACTCCAGGAAGGTGCTAGTTTTACATCAGATTAAGCCCAGCACCAAAACCTAGGATGCTTAACCTTTAGATTATACCTCCAAAACAGGAGCAAAATATCCTACTTTCAACTTTATTGTTTCATTATTCGCTCCCTTCTCTTTTCTATCTGACATAGTATGAGTAACTACCACCTTGAGACTGCTACAGAGAAACAGTAACTTGCAGTAGAAACCCACTCTGAATAAAGGTAACTATGAAAAGGCCAAGCCATGTTAAACTGCTGAAAAGCCCTCATGTAAACAAATACCATCTATACATACATCCAGAATATGGATTAGTTTTTTACCCTTAAAGCCAGTGAGCATTTATCACAGAGAGAAGTTATTTCATTGGTTACTTGTTTACAGTCATCTCACCAGCTATATGAGTGTAATGATCCTGCCTCTTGGGTACACCCCTAGATCCACAGAATTCAGCACTGCCACCACACATGCAAAGTAAGTCTTTTGTTGAGTGACTGAATACATTGACCTTGTTTATCAAGGGTATTCTTAGGCCACTAAGCCTAAGCAATTATAATACTAGCTCACAGCAGTAAGGAACCCAGATTCTGCTGGGGTGCTAACAACATATTCTGCACAGAAAGCCCCTGAGATATTTGCTAAAATGGTATCGAAGAGAACCTTCCTCACTAAAGCCATGATGCTATATTCTGAAAACACCCCAATTCTAACCTGCCTCACCTTCTGCTGCCCTCTCATACATATACTTTACTCTTACCCACTACTCCCAACAGAGGAACTCCCAGCAATCCAAAATGCTTGTTCTTCCTGTACACACAAGGCCCTGCCCCGTGGGCCTCTGTGGTTTTACACAATACTCTTCCTGCTGCAAAAGATATACACTCCCGTCCTTTCCACTTCATGAATGCTTACATCTCAAGATCCAACAAGTGCTGCGTTAACACATTCATGACAGGACAGTTATAATTTGTGTGTCTTGTTGTTTAGCAGCTCTGATTTACTTTTATTACTAAAAAGACTGATAGAAGTGATTAGATCTGTTTGTAATACCAGTGGTTCAAGCCACCTGATGGCACAGTCATGCATGTTCCACCAGTGGCTCAAGCCAGTAGGAATGTGTTAAAGCCTTCCCTAATTCAACCAGAAAGAAACAAGTACTATGTCCTCCATGCTCCCATACTACTTTGCCTTTTACTGCTTATCATGCCTGGATCATTAAGTATTTAATAAATACTTACTGACTAAATGACTATGGTTGCAAATGCTAGACTGTAAGCTCAAGGGTCAGGGTTTGAGTCTTCTAAGTCAGTGGTTCTCAGGGGATGAGTTTACTCCAAAGAACATTTGCCAATGTCTGGAGACATTTTTGGTTGTCCCAACTGGGGGAGGGTTGCACTCAGTGAACACAGACCAGGAATGCAGCTAAACACCCTACAATGCACAGGATAGTCCCCTAAAAAAAGAATTACCTGGCCCAAAATGTCAAAAATGTTTCTTTTCAGAAACTCTAATCCAAGTTTATCTCTTAACACCTGGAAGAGTGCCAGGCTCACAACAAATCTGCTTTGAATAAATTGCCCAATAATTTTCACCAAGTTCTAGCAATATGGCAGGGCCACTAAATTAGTCCTAAAAATGAGCTGCAGATACTTGGGGAAGTTGAAATCAGTCTTTCTCCGTTCCTTGTAAGATATGTACACATCAGACCTTCTCCAAGCAAAAGGATACACAGCCCCAAGGAAAGCCACTTATAACATGGACACACTCTGTAGCTACCTCACCTAAGGTAAATTCCATTTTCATTTTCCCATGTATGGGTCAGGAATGCACTAAGCTTTCATATGTGTACTTGAAGTTAAAAAAGTTTTAGGCTGACTTTTTGTTAGTGATTTTTAGAAGTTTCACATTCTTTCTTACCACTGTTAAATTCCGAATTTCTTCCATGACACGAGGCCAGAAGGACTGGAGGCTCTGCTGGGCATCACTGCTGCTAGTACCACCAAACCCTCCTTCTGTGGACATTTCGACAACTAAAACACACAAACACAAAACACATTAGAAATGATAAAGTCAGACTTTGTGATCAGTTAATAATTTTCTTTGTTGATTACTACTGAGAACATATAAAGAACTCAAAAAAAAATCAGACCTCCCAAATTTAAAGACCCAATCCAAAAATGGGCATTTGAGACAAATACAAACTTCTCAGATAATGAAGCAGAAAAGCAAATAAGTATATGAAAAAATGTTCAACATCACTGGTCATTCAAGAGATGCAAATTAAAACAACACTGAAATTTCATCTCACCCCAGAAAGAATGGCTATTATCAAGAAATTAAACCAATAGCAAATGCTGGCAGGGTTATAAGGAAAAAGGAACCCTTCTCTACTGTTGGTGGAAATGTAGACTGGTGTAACCACTGTGAAAATCATTGTGGAGATTTCTCAAAAACCTAGGACTGTTATGTTTGACCTAGTCATTCCCTTCCTGGATATCTTCTCAAAAGAATTAAAAGCATTATACCACAGTGACATATGCACACCCATGTTTATAGCAGCACAGTTTGTAATAGCCAAATCTTAGAAAGAACCCAAGTACCCATCAACTTGTGAATGGATAAAGAAGATATGGCTGTTCTGCCATAAAGAAGGATATGCTTGAGACACTGTCAGGAAAATGGATGCACCTTGAGTCTATACTCTTAACTGAATTAATTCAGATGTGTGTGAATACCACATTATTTCTCTGATGTGGGAAACCAAAAGTGTAAATAAGGACCAAAATGTATTTTGAAATAGGAGGAAAATGTTCAAATGGGGAGGGGAACAAGAGAGAGGGCAAGAGGAAAGGAAAGAAAGGAAAAGTTTAAAAAAAAATGAGAAAAGAAGGAAAACACGGAAACAAAGCTCTGTATGTAGGGAGTGGGAGGAGGGGCTGAACGAAGGGTAGCGAATGGGGGAAAAACAAGGTATATCATGTACAGGTACAAATTTTCTATGATGAAGGTGATCATTCTGTGTATCTAAAATGTACCAATAAAAGCTTTCTCAATTTTCTTTGTGACTGTTTTTACTACTCTGTTCCATTTTTCAGTAGATAAGGTATATACTTGGGCTAGAGAGACTTCTGGCAGATTTAAATCTTAGTAAAAACATTTGGTAGAAAGTTTTCCCTTCAGTGTAGCTTATACCACAAAGACTGAGGAACCTTAACTAAAAAATCAAAAGCTGCTAGAAATCCAAACTGAAATCTGGATGTGAATCAACAGTTTCAACTTCCTCTCAGTGGCAGGGAAAGCACCTTGTTGCTCTAGACTAGTCCATCATTTTCAGTGACAATCCCTCCAAAGCTTTTACAAGTTCTCCATGCTTTTCATACTCTCTCATATCCTATAGCAAATGTATTAAGGGTCCCTAGAGATTCACCCTGAAGAGAAATGTAAACCTAAAACTTAATAAATTAGAGCCAGGTTTGTTCTTTTGTTTTAGACAAGATGGCTCCATTTTGTGGAGCTACTACTGATTATTATTCCTTCTAATCCCCAGCAAATCTGTCTCAACGGACATAAAAGTGAAAGAATAAGCTAGTAATTGAGTAAGCAGCATGAAGGCTCTGAACTGAAACTGCACATTTTCCAGTTCTTTCCTAACCTGGCCTGCAGCCAAAAACAGCTTCACAACAATGAGAAGCTTTAAAGGTAGCTGAAGACAGCGGAGAATTAAAATGACCTCACTGGGTCAAGGACTTCATGATGAAGTAAGGACAATGAGTACAGGTCCCCCATATTAGCTGTAACTGAAGACAATTTTATAACGACCTAAAGATTTACAGAAGGAAAGTAAAAAAGTTCCAGATGATTTAAATGCTTACCTGACAAATACTTAAATCCAAGAAACAGTATAATTAAGCACAAAGAACAAGAAACCCAGTGATCTTCTATGAATTTCTATTCTGGGGGAATATTTGAAAAAGTATAACATGTCAGTGACAGAATGCTGACAGCTACGGAAATCATTCCGAGTGACTAAAAGAACGCCAAGCCCAGTATCATCTGACCAAACACGCAGCTTTCCATCCCCACAGGCTCACTCTCCACTGATAGAGTGCAATCAAGGCCAATAAATGCAGGTTTAGCTGCCCAGGACAGTCAACTCACTCTTAAATCTCTGCCTAGGATTGTCTCAGAGATCTGATTTTTTTCCTTCTAAAGAAAATGATGAGAGAAATGGAAGGGAAACAGGCATATAATCTTCAAAGCAGATTTCACTCTAGTGTAATGACATTAGTAGATGATGATGTAATGGGAAAAGGACTGGAGCCAATTTCTGTTGCTAGAGGCCTATAAACAGTTCTCTATACCACAACAGGTCTCTTAACTACTGGGGAAGCAATGCAACCTTGGGGGTTTCTGGAGTTAAAGGGGCCACGGAATCGCAGTTGAAAATGATAGATAAAATCTTGAGTCCTAAATAACCCACCGAGAGCCCCACAACTCAGTTCCTATGACATTTTCACTTATCACCACACACACATTGCCTACATACTACTTTAGATGTACTCAGAACAAAGAAATCAAGGTTACCTAGAGAATTTTAGTAATCTATTTTCATTAATAGTCTCCTATGAGGTATTCATAACAATGAAGAGAGTGAAATTCAATTTTTTTAAACAGGCAAATAAAAATCTTTCTGGAAAGGAAAATAATTATCCCAAAACCCCTCAAAGCTAACCCTTTATTGCAAGAATCTGTGGACAGGCATGATCTTACCTGTCATGCAAATTGCTCCACAGTGGAAGGAGGAAACTGCATGGTTGCCAATGACATCTTTCTAACACTTGCTAATGACAGGTTTAGTTGGAGTGTAAATGTCTGTAAATTTTAGAAGTTGGCAACAAGTTTTAGCTGTCCTCTGACCTCTCCCCTTAAACACATTACAAAGGCATACAATACAGCCATGTGTGGTAGCTGTAATCTCAGCACTTGGGAGGCTGAGGCAGGAGGATTATGAATTTGAGACCAGCTTGGGCTAAACTGCAAGTTCTAAACCAGCCTGGATTACACAATTACACAACAAAATTCTCATTCTCACTCCCTCTCTCTCTCTCTCTCTCACACACACACACACACACAGATGAAGCACTTTTATAACCATCTGTGTAGTGTGCTGTCAAATTCTGAACTGCCCTAGTTATGAATATATGATCAGTCCCCCAAACATCTGCATAATCAATAGATCATGAATCTTCGCCTGGCTCAAAGCCATACACTGTTGTAGTGGGAGTTGTGAACAAAACAGAAATTGAAGTTATAAAATAGTTCTAGAATTGAAAGCATATTAAAAGTTAAATTTTGGGGGCAGGAATGCAGCTCAATGTTAGAGCATTTGTCTACCTGTGTAAGACCCTGGGTTCAATCTCCAGCAAAGGAAGGGGCAGGGATATTAAGTTTTCAATTTGAGAAGCCTATCTGCATTACAGAATTACAAATGGAGCCAAGCATAGTAGCACATGCATGTAATCCCAGCACTCTGGGAGGTTAAGGCAGGGAGACTGCCAAGCTTGAGTCCCGCCTAGGCAACTTAGTGAGACTGTCTCAAAACAGGCTCAGTGCAAACACCTTAGGTCAGTGGTGGCGAACCTATGGTATGCATCCTGAAGTGGCCTGAAACTCTAAAAGGTTCACCATCACTGCCTTAGGTTCAATAATCAGTACTAGCAAAAAATTACAAATGGATAATAGCAAAAATGCAAGTTGATGTCCCTTATGTAGTTTACAGCAGCAGAGGTTTTAGGACCAAAGAAAGATATCAGAAGACACCCCTCTTTTATACTTTTACATGCTCGCAACTCTTTTTTAATCTCTGTGCCACCTTTACAGCTCTACCTTAAGTGGTCATCCAGGTTAAATTTGAGTGCCTGCCACTTCAGTTAGGGAAACTGGCCTACTGGCAAGGCATTCTTTTCCATCTTTGGACAGCTCTGACTGTTCTTTACATTAAAGTTAAGTTTATAAGCAATGTTCGTTCCATCTGAGCTTTGGATCTGAGTTACAGTCTTCATGATTTTTCCATCTAGCAAGCTCTTTTTATACATTCCTGACTTCAAAAGCGAAGATATTCTCAATATCTGTGACACCAGATCCTCTCTTAAGGAAAAAGAAAGTTTTAGAGCATGTTTTCTAGTATCTTTATGATCACTAATACCTCTTAGAAGGACATGAATTATTACTGTACTTTTATTCAAAATGTTTCCTCCCCAACAGATCCATTCTTTGCATCGAGCTTTACACATTAAGATGAAATCCTCAAGTAATACATTCTGCAAAAAATAAACTGGTGTTCTCAATATCTTCTGAGTCATGATTTAACATTAAAGCAATAAAGCCTAGGGACTGGGGATTTAGCTCAGTGGCACAGCGCCTGCCTGGCAAGCGCAACGTTGTGAGTTCGATTCCCGGTATCAAAAAAAAAAAGCAATAAAGGCTAAATGTACGCACAAACGAATTTTGTTGGCCAAACACCGCCAACAAGTTAAAAACACATGAAGCAACTTTAAGTATTGTCCCTTATGTTACTATGACATTAATGGCACCTGAACTGATACTGCACAGAAGTAGCACATTTACAACAACATACTGTGTTCATCCGGGTGATAAAAGAAAGCATGCACTTAATGTTAGAAGAGATTTATTCTAGGACTCTTTTTATTCCATCTAAAATCACTATCTCTATCACTGGGAAGAGCTATTTATATAAAGATGACAAAGACAAAACTGTTTTAAGACCAAGCCACATTATCTTAGATCACTCTTATGAAAAATGCAATATAGAATTTCCTAGATTTAATTCATTATTAATATTCAATTTACTATTCATATTCATTATTTACTTTATAAATAGCTGAATGAGACTGCCTGTTTAACTGTTTAATAAAGACTCAACAATGAGCTGAACTATTGAATGATTACTACTAAAAGTAATCTCAACTCTCACATCTATTGATATACTGTACCTACTTTTAATTTATGT